TGAGCTTGTCGATCAGAAAGTTTGGTGGTTCGAATCCTTAGCACCGCGTAATGGAGTGAGCTCCCGTTACATGCCCCAGCTTCTGCCAAACTAGCAGTTCAACAGCATGTAAAAATGCAAGTAGAAAAATAGGAACTACCTTTGGTGGGAAGGTAACAGTGTTCTGTGCACCTTCGGATTTAGTCATGCCGGCCACATGATCACGGAGACGTCTTTGGACAGGGCTGGCTCTTCGGCTTTGAAATGGAGATGAGCACCACCCCCTACAGTTGGCAACGGCTAGCACATATGTGCGAGGGGAACCTTTACCTTTACCTAAAGTCATTTGTATTTCCCACCTGAGCCAAGTTCTTTCTGATTTAGACATTTTTTTCCTGGTGTCAAGTCAATCTCTCAATTCAGCCACTGGGGTAACTTTGAATCTACCCCTTCATAGGAAGGTAGCTTCACATTTCCCTCTTACAAATCACATTTTTTTAAGATTCTGGGCAAATGTTCACTTAGGTGAACCAACAATGCAGAGAGGATGGCGGTCCCTGTTATTTCTGAGCTCTCTTATTAGACAGCTGCCAAGAAGAACTGATTGGCGTCTGCTATTTCTTAGCATTTTGAAGCTTGTAATTATGGTGAACATTTCTACTTGAATCAGTCCCCATTTGAGAGATTGATCAGTGGAAATAGCAGCAGTATAGAAATGCTCTTAGAGCTGCCTGCTTTTTCATAGCAAATACATATGAAATTTCTCCAACAAAAAATAATATATGCTGTAAGGCAATGAAAACTTCCCTGATAAAAGTTGAATAGGAAAAAAATGAAGTGGCTTTTGGAAGGCCTTATGAAGTAAAAGATGGGAATGTAAAGATGGAAAAGTAAAATGTGGGAATGCTGAAGACCTAAAATTAGCAACATGTTTCCAGGTTGAAAAGTGGGTACTACGTTTCATTTTAGTGTAACTTACAAGGCATGCACAATTATAAAAATGTTGTTCTCTAAGAGACTTTTTCCTGAGAGTCATAATATTTAATTTCTGTTTGGATTTTCTGATGCACTTGGTAGAATTTCTCCTGTATATTTAAAAGATTTAGTTAAGTAGCAGTCCCAATAACTTGAAAGCCCCAAGTTAAAGGTTGGCTTAAGAAATAAAAACTAAGGGAGCCATTATTTTTAGATTTCACTCGCTATGCAGGAAGCATTATTATAAAAGGTTGTGTTGTGTTTCTTTTTTGAATAGGGTTATTCTAATAAGACAGTTATAAATTTGTCATATTCACCTAAATAATCATTAAAATGTAATACTTATTGATGTATAGAGCAGTTTTGTAGGTCTCATCTACATCACAAAATGTCTACTGCAAAGCCAAGATTTATAGCATCCCTCTTCTTGCAGGTTAATAATTGTTTGAATCCTAAAGACCAGGTATTCTGAAATAAGTTGCAGTAATTTGTGTGGAAAGGTGTGGGAGGTTAAGAAACATCAATGCCTATGTCACCTTTTACATAGACCCCATTCACAAAGGCTACAAAAAGTCCTTACCTTTATGAGAATCTTCCTCTTGAGCTGGTTTGGAGATGGCAGACCATCAGCAGAGATATCTACCGGTTTGGTTAGCAGCATGTCTCCAAAGACCTTCTTAAAGTTCTGAGCCATATTCCTCTGCTGGGCAATGCTGCAATGGTCTTCAATGGATAGGATAACAGGATAACTTAAAAGAAACAAAATCATTAAGAATAATTCCAGGTGTTGGTTGTCACCTCTAAAGCCTTCAATGATCTGGGGTCAGGTTAGTTGGAGGACTGTCTTTTCCCAGGTACATCTACCGCACTCATCAGAGCAGAGAGGC